GTCGTAAACTTTTCATAAATGCGCCTGAATAGGTTACGAGACTAATAGACATAATAATGTGTTAAAACAGACAAAAATACAAATTTTCACAGATTTAAATCATGAGTCAGTTGAAGCTAGACCACCATTGAAAACCTGGAAGCATTGGACGGCCGTTTCGTCCTAGTATGGGACCCCTCAGCAGTGCGCATCCACGACCCCGCACCACCCGGGGCTCGAACCCAGGACCTACTGGCTTCGCGCGCGATCACTTAACCATTAGACCACTGAGCCGGCATCCAACGGTGTTAATGTCTAACTTCAAATAATCCACGAAATTGAGCGACACATCCACCATTGTCATCAGTGAGTTACTATCTCACAACTGACCCGGTTGAAATTCACAATTGTTTCTATAAAACTTGACACTAATAACAATCGGTTTTCATATCTAAAAGCTTATCTACATTTTGCAGTGAATTTACTTGCGCATTTAAATTTCTAAGTCACTAAAAATTTAAGTTCAGTTCAACTTATAGTGTTTTTATATTTTTGCCTAGGAAACTTAAGTTCTACTAATTGCAAACTACCATACAGAATAATATAGCTATAAAGTTTAAACTAATGGCCTTAGATCAAAAAAACCCGAATCTCCTGGGGATATATACACATTACCAACGTAATACAATCCTCATTAGTCGAAATCAACATTAATTATGTTACTTTTTGAGTTGTCTATAAAGCGAAATAAGTATAAAATAATAAGAACAGTAGAAAAACTCAAAAAGCAAGATGAACAGTAGATTTTCTTGAACTTTTATAATCTAATAAACTAACGACCTTAGTGAATAACAGAAGGAAGAATAAACTGTTAGATACTTGAAAAGAAACTTTGAAACAGCACTATTTGTTTTGCAATATGATGGCAGAAGATAAAATCAAAATATACATTTAAAAAAAAATTCATTTATTAACTTACTGAAGGTTTTGTTTTTGAGAGAAGAATGATAAAATGATGGTAAATAAATTAAACTATAAACAATTTATATCCCGTTTAGGCTAGCAAAAATATCACATAACTCCTCTATTACTTTGAGTATATACATACGAAATTTTTAAAAATCATTGTTTTGAGTTATTTTAGTTGTTTCATCTGACTAGGTCAAAATGAACCTACAACTAACGGAAGAGAGAGTTCAATTGGTTTCCTTTCGAATAGAAACAAAAAAAGTAGAAATCCTTTTAAGGACATTGACGAAAGCTTAGTAAGCACTAGTATTACTATTATAACTGTCAATGAATAAATGAGCTAACAATTAATCTGTGTATATAGTTTTGGTTTTTGTTGTGAAAATACAGAGATAATAGTAACAACGATAAGACACGTTACCAGTGATATTAATCCATATAGAAAACTATACATATATATATGAATTTGACTATGAAAACATAAATATTGTGGACTGACAGAAATAAAAGTACTCTAGAAAATTTCTGGAAGCGTGAAACCCAGACCAATCAAGAATCAAATGAAAAAGTAACACAAATCGTATGCATCATCTTATAAGGAAAATATCAATCAACTACATGGAGAAAGTTCGATTGACCAAGACACTTTGAGTATAAGGACGAATGAGAACAACGAAACGAAAAAAACAAGATCAACAGGAAGAATTGATTTAATCCTGGTGGAATAACTAAGAAGCTCGCTTCTACACAAATTACTGATGTTTTCCAGAAGCACAGCAAAAATACTGTAATTAAACAATCCAGTTTAGTGAACTTAACAACACCGAAACGAATTTTTGTGTGTTTTGCGATTCCTTTACATTTCATACATTACCTTTTTAATTTAGCTCTTAATATGTTTAACATTTATTCTTATTGATTTTTTTCAGGATGTGTAATTTGAACTTATGATAGGAACTCAAACATTTTACAACTAATTCAACTGGTCACTTGTATCCAACAATAAGTAAAAATACTATCAAATAGATATACATTAGTGAAAGAATAATTATAGATGGATAATTTGTAACACGTTATAGTTTTGATGTCTTTCAAGTTATTAGTCACAAATAAAATTTACGAATGCAATTCAAAAACATCGGATATTATTCCGATCACAAGCGGTGTAACACAAGGTAGTGTCTTGGGTCCTTCATTGCTTGCAGACTAAATGATACCTGTGAATATTATTTACTATTTAAAAGTGTGTTAATTTGTTTATTTTTATTCTTTGGAGAATTTACTTACACTAAGTGACGAAACTTGGAAAATGTAATGTTGCACTCACTCAGACTCTACAAATATATATATCAAAGGTTAATCCCATAAATTTAAATAATATCTATCCAAAACAGTAGATCATAAAACAACCTAGGATATGTAAGACGGTAAACCTATCATGGCAATTTTTGTTGTAATTGATCTGTACTCTTTCTGATTTTTTTTCTCTAGTTCTACATATGTATGTTTACTCTATAAAGCACTGAAACTGGCGGTGGATACACAATCCACACTTCGACAGGATATCTCAGTGCTCCTAATAAGAATAATCGATTCTCAACTGCGACCTAACAAAAATTTGAAAACAATTTAACCTCATATTGATGATCTTTACATGTAACATTGATTTCTATTTCAACTTGACCAACCTTGTAAATCGGTATGGATTCTATAATTCTTTCCGGAATACTATTGACATATTATTTATTGCACATAAAAGCAAAAAAGACAGTTAATAAATGCGACAATCTTCTTCATACAATAATCTCCATTCACAAACGAGTTACAGTGACATACAAAAGCATCAGAGTTGTCAAATATAATAAAAACATTATATAATCAATCATCACCACAAACTGACCTCCTCGATCATGGGAAGGCATTCGACAATGTGAACAGGGGAAAATTGTAAAATGTTTCTGGACACTACAATGTATTTGAGAAGACTGTCACCATCATATAAAGCCCCTCTATGAGAGTGAATTACAAAGATGTTGTTATAATCTCTTTCTTACGGTTAGGACCCAGCTATTCCTATTGCTTATTAGTATTCTCGGACACCGATTCACTCGACAAGTCCCCAAATCAGAACACGGTTAAACAGGAAAGAGATTATATCCCAAATAACAAGGTTAGGTGGAAGTAAGAAGCACAATAGGGAAAACGTTAGTATATTTATAGTTTTTACATGAGAAGATTCTAGAGTATTCTCCGACTATCGACTAGTGCTGATTGGATAAAAATGAGCCAATCAGTGTGCACCAAAGGAATCGCGCAGTGAGCATGCTTTAATCCACTCTGTGTCCCGCTAACAGATGTGCATGGAGGGCACTTTACAAATACATTCCAAACAGGGCTGTTAGGAATTTTTCGTCAATTTTTGTCAATTAGATTATGAAGACTTCCACTTCTTAGCAGAAGCATGGAATATGGTGGATACGTTGGACCCGGCTGGCTGATTTAGACATTGCAAATGAATTAGACTTGCTATTGCACACTGCTAGGGTTGAAGCTATCACGAGTTCACTTAATCTGCGAACAAGAAACAAGACTCGGTGACCAAAGACCAGTAGGCTAGCTATTGATGCGTCCCAGCCCCGCTAACTAGAGGGAGAAGTCCAAGCTTGGAATGGGGAAGTATATTCTGCAAACAGCCAGAAACGAGCGATAACAACAAACACAATTCAAAACGTATATATATACAGTAAAAAAACGTCTTCGGGGAGAGTTACTAAATAGCATACTAAAAGACTCAACGGACTAATAGCATTTAAGATATTTCCCAGTGGGAAATACGACATGAAGGTGACAAGAGCACCTTTGGCGCGAAAATAAATTCAAATTTTCCAAATAAAATTACAAAATTAGGTCCTTTCCCAAGTGAGTTCTGGGGATCTAACGTCCCCAACACATACCCACCAATAAATGCAGATGAAGACAGTCAGCATAGCAGCAGTAGGCCTCAAAGTGCACAAGGCATAAAACCAAGATCCTGAAGTTAAACACAGAAAGCACCAAACAAATCACTCTATGGCATAGCTCTGAAAGAGGCGTAAGCCTTTAGATACTTGAGCAGCATCATTGGTAAACAAAGAGGATGTGATGCAAATGTCCAGGACATTCCTATAATTAAGCAATATCTGGAGCTCGAAAGAACTGTTACAGAAGACCAAATTTAGAATTTTCAACATAAACGTTAAAACAACTCCATAGAGTAGAGCTGAAACTTAGAGACCTATCACAGCTATCACCAAAAAATACAGGTATTTAAGAAAAATGTCAACGCAAGATATTTCATATCTAATGGGCAGAGACTATCAACAATAACCTACTTTGGTAGCAAACAAATCAGTCGCCAATTAATGAAACAAAGAACTTATCAAACCGTATCACAAGGCAAGCCCTAACTAGGACTCGTCAAGACAAATTGAAAAACAAAAGACCAAGGAAAAGAAAGCACTGAAAATTAGGCATATACATTAAACGATGAATAGTATTTATCAACAACGAGAAAGAGCCCAGGACAAAGTTGACTGGAGATCCTTGGCAGACAGGCTACGTCCCAAGAAGAGTAAGGTGATCAGACATATTGTTTCGAGATCAAATGCTAGGCAATGGATGTTGACGAGTGCATGGCATTGGTACAGAAACACACCACTGGTTGAATTCTGGTTCGACTATTTTAGACGCTCATCTATATTGATGAGTTTTTTGTGTATATTTAAATTCGGCTAAGCAGTCAAGCTTTCACTCAATTAGCAGGTTAGTTTCGAGTGTTGGAATCAGGTATTATAAATTGGAGAACGGTTCAACACAGCACAAGCCTGAATGGGAGTAGCAATCTAATTAGTGTTGTCTAAGTAATATATCTTTTATCAAAGTAGAGTTATGATATACAAAAATGTGCCAATATATAATACTTCAAACCAGGAATCAGTGAAACATTTAATCGATGAAACGTAACACTTCTATATTTAGGACCTTCGTAATAATTATAAAAGTGAAGAACTAACCCATTTCTAGTAGGCAGCCATTCTACCAAACGTATCGGTTCGTAAAATATATAGTCATCTGGAACCGCTTCACCAGGGGCTGAGAGATATAAAAAAAGACAATAGCGATAATAATAATAAGGATAGTGTGGATGATAATAAATACGAATGGAAGCTCAATAAAAAACAATTAAGGGAAATGATGATTAGCAGTGAAAAACGTGATAGCTGAAGAAAAACTAAAGTACAAAGAATGTAATTATCAAAGAAATAATGGTAATGCGAAAAGCAAAGGCTTATTATTATTATCATTATTATTACGCGGACATAAAATACCGTCAGAATATTTGGTGCTAACAATGGTGAGTGTAAAATTAAGACGTGGAAAAAGCTCATTGAAATTGATTTTATAATGATAGAGATTGGCATGAGATAGGGTAAATAGTAATGGGCATTTAGTTATCTGTGGATTTCTGAATATATATATTTACTTAGGTGAATTACTGATAAGAGAATAATAAGGTGAATTTTTGTGGAATTCATATAAATTAAATGACGCAAATGATAATCACGAACTATATCTGTATGCTAATGCCCACTTTCAGTAAAACGAATGAATAGCTGAAATTAAATTTAAATCTACTGAGAAACTAATACTGATCAGTATTTAGTTGAGTAATCTTTTCTGTTCCATAAAACTGCCTCCAGATATCACTGTACATTAGCAAACTTCGGTACTTTACAAACGAGTAAAAACTTTAAACCATGTAACGGAGGTTTACATAGATTAATGTGATTGGAAGTCGACAAATGAGTAAGTAATTTACGAGGTAACAAACTAAATTTAGACCTAATAACAACCAAATAATACATTTAATCTATGTAAGCCAATATTCATGCTTCTGCAGTACTCTCTTGCAGTTATCTTCAATAATAAAGCCCATAGGTAACATACAAGGCAATCAGTTATATGTCGATAGCGACATTGTCATGCTATAAAAAAATCATAGAAACACGGACATACGTTGTAGCTGATGTTAGAAATAAACATGATCGCATACACCACTGAAAGGTTTCAAAACATCCTTTCACATCATTGGACATCAGAATTACTGTCTCCCAATATGACATCACAATAAGAATATACTGATAAGTGTAAAAAATTCGTCACTGTCTTTTTAAAAGCACCATGGATGCGTACATGCAGCTCTCATTGAAAATGAACCATATATTATTCACTCACCGATTACAGTATCCCATCAATATCCTTAACAGCAATACACCCTAGATAAATATTGTTGAGCTATGAATAACTGTAAAAAAGTGATGTGAAATTTCGAAAACAAAAGCTAGTATGACAGTAATTCTTCTAGACTAACAAGTGGTAGACATAAAAAAGATTAAATTTTATGTATAAAGTTAATGAAATCTACAAATCCTAGCCTCGTAAATTCTTTTGTACAGCACAAAGTATCAGAACGAGAATAGATGTGTGAATTTAGCACAAAATCATTTTTCGCTTAAATAAAGCTATGAACACATTATAACTTCTCCGGAAACCAATATTGGCTTATTTAGCTCAGTTACTACAAATCTAACTAGACAGCATGACAATACACTTTATAGTGATCAAGGTGTTCAAACTGACATTATATCTCGGCAGCCTAGAAATATGCAGGATAAACAAAGCTCTAGCTAGAAAAATGAAAAAACTTTCCTACAGTTTCGCTAAGCCTAACTTAGTTCATTAGGACATAAGGTTCGATAAATGACAGTAATGATTATAGACTAACAAAAGATAGTCCAAATTTTCACTGAATCATTCAGGGTAGGAAATCGAAAGAAATTGTATCAATGAAACAAACTGATATTTTCCACAGAAAAACATTGTTTTAGCTACATAAAGTATGTAACGATAAAGAAATCACAACTAGTTGTAACGATGTTAAATCCACAAGGAATTAAAATGAATAATTCAAATTAGTGCAACAAATCGACTTAGCTGTTACTTCAATTCAATGCTTTAGAAAGCATGAGAGTGATATTTTATGCGATGGATTATCACAATAATTCACTTAATAAGGAGGCACCTTACCATGCGGGCAGATCACAGAAACTGGACGTTGTGGTTGGCGAATTAACCAAGTTGCAAGTAAACCATTATTATGCGAAGTAAGGAAACTTTTTCCATCCCAGTGCCAGACTACACTATACAAACTCTACAAAAAAAATGTATAGTAAAATAATCACTGGATAGAAAATAACAGTAAAAAATACAGTTTTCATGTAGCAATGACCAACGTGCTAAAATGCTACCAGAGATACTTTAACCAACCATATAATGAGGAAAATAACACTATAAATCTGTCATTTTTTAACGAACAGAATTTGCAGCAAGCAACGGTAAATATTATCAGTGATCTCCTGAAAGACAAATCATTACCATGATAGTAAAATTAACCAACGGGTTAAACATAATGAGCAGCTACAGTCCAGAAGAACAGATATTATCGACACAGGGTTTGACACATGTGCGTTAGCCCAAGTTGACATATCATAAAACGAGATAGAAATAATAAAAGAGATCGAGGGAGCACAGTTATAATGATAGAAAGACTAAACCTTAGGAATATGTTTCGGAAAGACAGACTAGAAAGGTATTTATTTATTTATTTATTTGAACACATATATATTGGTACAGAAATGCGCCGAATATATATGCACCACATAAAACAATGAGAATCTAAGAAGAAAAAACAAGTGAGAAACGTAAAAAAAGAAATAATAATAATCAAAAAAACGAAGAGATTGGTGTAAGGTAGTGTAATAATAATAATAGCAATAGTAGGGGAACAGGAGGGTACAATCAGAAGAAATCTTTCAGTTAAGGAAGATACAACCACTGTTTATGGAGAAAGTGAAAGAAGGTTACAGCAGGATCGCCACTGGCTTCTATTCTGAGACATATCTGATAACGTCTCTAGCCACTGTGTAGCACCATCACTCGGACCCCAGCCAGCGAGTCGTGAAGGACCAACACAAGCCAGCCCTTTGCAGATTTCTTTCATGCCACGACACCATGTCATATGCTGACCACCTCTCTGCTTCTTCCAACCAGTCCCAGAGTCGGCAAATAATGCACGACATGGAATTCTCTGGGATGACATTCGTAGAACATGTCCAAGCCACCGAAGTCGGTGTTTCAAGATGGTGACACCAATTGCATTATCGTCTCTGTGCCCGAACACACGATGTAGAACCTCTGCACATGGTGTTGCCACTGGATGTCAGCAATCCTTCGGAGACAACGGTGATCAAGCACAGAGAGTCATCTAACATCCTCAACTCGGAGAGACCAGGTTCCACAAGCATAGAGCAGAATTGATCTCACCAACCTTTTACAGCCAGACTGACATCACGAAGGCGCCAAATATGACCTAGATTGGCATAAGCCGCTCTGCCTTTCACTGTACGTGAATTGGTCTCATCACTCACGCCACCACCAACACTTACTCAGATACACAGATACACAAACTTTACTACCCAGGATGAATGCCAGTTTTGTAGAAGTACTTTGTACTTCGGAGGTGCAAAGCACATACCATACCTACGAACACTGATTGCCAACTGATTAAGTGCGGATTGCATGCCTTAGGCATTATCACACAGTAAGACAATATCATCCGCATACTCAAGGTCGAGAAGTCTTTCTCCAGGCAATAGATCCACACCATCATTACTTACATCCATCAGAGCTGTTTCCAGAATGTCGTCGACGGCAAAGTTGAAGAGGAATGATGATATTGGGCAACCCTGTCTAACCCCACTGCTCGAATAGAACAATGGAGAGAGGTGGTTGCATGCTCTCACTCTGCCTGAGGTGTTTGTATATAGGGCTTTTAGGGTGTTACTAAACTTCTCAGGCATACCCTTTTTCAACAGACAATCCCAGAGAACAGTCCTGTCCAACGAATTGAAGGCAGCCCTAATGTCAAGAAACACTACGATTGTTGGCCTGTGATGAGTATAAAGGTGTTCTAACATTTGGCGGAGGGTGAAGATATGATCAATACATCCTCGACCAGAACGAAACCCAGCCTGCTCCTCACGAGTCAATCTTTCTCGGGTTTTGAATAACCTACGAAGTATAATGGAAGCCAATAGCTTGGATGCAATCGGAAGTAGACTTATCCCCCGATAGTTGTTACAGGAACGATGTGAACCCTTTTTAAAGATAGGGACAACTATCGACTCATTCCATGACGTTGGTACACTCTCCAGCTCCCAAACCTTTGTAAACAACGTCGTCAGTTCCTCAGCAAGAAAGTCACCACCATCTTTAAAAAGAGCCCGTAGTAAGTCTTCTGGGCCAGGTGATTTGTAGCGTTTCAAGAGTCGGAGTTCCTTGCGTACTTCCGCCTCATTTGGTGGATCAGTCGTCACCGGCCCTGGAGGGCAGGACAGTCCGACTGCCCTTCGAAAAATTCTGCCCATCGTCCAAGACGTCGATGGATGTTAGTGATTGGCATCCCATCATCCTCGCAGATTGTTTCACTCACACCAGACTTCTTGCTGCCAGTGGCCCGGATGTGTTGGAAGAGCTTCCGGTAATTACCAGATGCAGCTCCTGCTTCCAGTCCATTAGCACGTTCTGACCACCATGCTTCTCGGTCCTTACGCAAGCTTTGCTCAATTTCGTTACGTAACATCCTTCGTTTGTGGTCAAACTCACGGTCACCCGGAGTAGACCGACGGGCTTCAATGAGTTGTAAGGAACCAGAAGAAACCCAATGCTTATAAGCGGGACGTTTCGCGAACCCACAACTGACTGTACCCACCATTTTCATGGCGTCATGCAATTGCAACCAATGCTCATCTATACTTTTCGGTGGAATGGTAGCTAGCCTAGACGCTAGCTCGGTTCGATACCTACTTGCAACAGAAGTTGCAACCAGCTTGCTAACATCAATCCGTTGATGGCGGTCACTTCGTTGGCCACTGAAAAGTAAGGTAAGATTGGTGCAGACCAAGGCATGGTCAGAGTCCAGATAGGTACTCCAAAAGGAGAGGCAGTCTTTTACACAACCACGCTAGCGGTAGCCAGTCGCGATGTGTTCAATCTGAGTCCAGGCCTGAGATGCAAAGGGAGGACGCCAAGTGGGACATCGGCGATGACTGTGCCGAAAGTTAGTGCTAGTCAGAAACAGGTTGTGGTCTGTGCACAGTTGCAGTAGACGGTCCCCGTTATCTGTCCTGAGATTAACAAGACCCCATCGGCCACCTAAACGACTCTCTTCTGTGCCTAGACGCCCGACCTGAGCATTCAAGTCTCCTGCTAGTACTACAATATCTGTCGAACGCACTTTCTGGAGAAGAACAGATAACTGGTGGTAGAATTCATACATGAGTGCATCCGGGCTGCAATCTGTCGGAGCATAGGTGGAGATGACGGAAAGGCATCGTTTCTCACGCCTATTTCTTCTCACTTTGATGGAACTTCCTAATCTAACAGCACATAACCGACTGTTATTGGGGATCCAATCGATTAGTGCTGCCTCAGCTCTAGCGCTTAGTGAGACAGCAATGCCAGCAAGACCAGACGAAGATGCCACAGGATCCCCAGATAAACGCACGTAAAACAAGCTTTTTGAAGCGACAGATAGAGGGCGAATTTGTAGTACTTGACCAGAGTCTTGAATACGGAACTCTGATAGACAGCAAACATCGATATTAAGACTTTCCAAAGACATAGCCAACCCTATTTGTTGTCCGACCTGCATAAGTGTGTGAGCGTTGAAGACAGCCAGTTTGAATGGTGCACGTGGTTTCATGAAAGCTGCTTCAGTCCTCGTATTCGGTGGTAACATACAATTTTCAATTGGACAGTGACTCGAGAACGTTAAGATACAGTCGAATTTCCACCATAGCCGAGCTGCTCAATAAGTCGAAAAAATAAGTATAAACAGAGTGGGAATAAAGGAGGGTGAGTAATGACGTAGTATATAATAATAATAGTAATAATAATAATAATAATAATAATAACAGCAATAACAATAATTAAACCATTTAAATGTTCGTCGAAGCAAGAGAATTAGTTTTCATGATCATAGACAGTCAGTCAGCTACTACGTAGTACCAGGCACATATGTGCATCAGTCCAAGTTGCCATACCTCATTAACACAACAAGATGGACACCAGATTCATAAAAGTAGTTAATTCAGAGGTGGTAATATATAAAAGAAAGATTGCATATAAGAACGTAGTACAGGAAGAATTAGTTCATAGAAAGAAAAATATGAAGCGATTTTAATCTCTTAGTTTAAGGGAAGACAGGGAGTGTATACACCGACGCCATTGTGATCGATTCTGAGCCATGTCACCAAGCGTCTCCAACCATTGGTATCGATAGTCACACGGACCACAACCAAGTAGTCTGCATCTACCAACATGGTTCAGACTAGAAGTTAGTGACTTCAAGCACTGATGCCACGTTTTGGTTTGGCCGCCCCTAACTTTCTTCCAACCATCCCGAACACCGGTTAGCATTGCACGTCGTGGTAATCGGTGTTCGGGCATACGTAACACGTGACCCAACCATCTCAGTCGATGAAGATTCACAACCTCATCAACTGATGTACCATCATTACTTAATACCCTGCGTCTAACCTCACTATTACTACCCGGTGATCCGAACAGACGCCAGCAATATTTCTAAGGCACCTGTAGTCAAATACTAGTAGCTTACGGGTGTCTTCTACTCTTAAAGGCCATGTTTCACTGCCGTAAATTAAGGCAGAACGGACTGCCACGCAGTATACTCGTCCCTAAATTGATAGACGGATATCTCGCCTTCGAAATAGGTGGTGACGTAATTATTTGGCAAAAGCCAAACGAGCTTTTCGAATCCGTGCTGAGATTTCGTCAGACACCAACCCATTAGGGTTGATGAGACTTTTAAGATTAGTGAAGTTGTCGACGCGTTCGACTACTTTACTCCCTATCCTTAGTTCAGGTGTTGACGCAGACCAGTCCTGAAGCAGCAGCTTGCATTTAAATGGAGAGAAGCGCATTCCAAACATTCTGGCATTGTTGCTCAGTGCTACCAAATGACTCTGCATTTAGTCAGCGACTTCACCAAACAGGACTATATCATCTGCGTATTCGAAGTCGATAAGTGGACCTCCTGGAAGAAGATCAATACCCGAGAATTCAGTCGACGAGAATGTTATTTCCATCAGTAGGTCTATGATGAAGTTAAACAAAAATGGAGAAAGTGGACAGCCTTGACGGACACCACTTGAGGTCGCAAAAGCAGATGACAGTTCGCCATAAGCTCTGTTTCAACTGGTAGTGTTAGAGTAAAGAGCCTTCATAAGGTTTATGTACTTCTGAGGTACACCTTCCAATGAAAGACACTGCCACAGAACATATCGGTCTACATAGTCAAATGCTGCTTTTAAGTCAAGAAAGACCACCATTGTCGGACGAATGGTGAATATGTGGTCGATGCAGTCACGACCAGGTCTGAAGCCAGCTTGATTCTCTCGTGTTTGCAGTTCACGAGTCTTAGTTAGGCGTCCGATGATTATCGAGGCTAGTATTTTAGATGCTATATTAGTCAAACTAATCCCTCTATGGTTGTCACAGGATGATTTTGATCCCAGATCTTAGCTAAAATATTAGTCAACCTAATCGCTAAAATTGGACCAACATCCTTAAAGACCTCTGGAGCCAATCCATCTGAACAACCTGCCCTTCCTCGTTTCAGATTAACTATAGCCTTTTGAACTTCAGCTAGAGTTGGGGACCTACTTCAATGTTCCATTCACACTGTCTGAGAATGGAGGGTAGTTGTAGAGTAGCTGAAGGCCAGCTGAACTGTTCTCTGAAATGTTCCGCCCATCGTTCTAAACGTCTGGACTGAGAGCAGATGAGGGTGTCGTCTTCTTCCGAAATAGTTTGACTTACACTTGACTTACTAATTCCAGTTTCTTTTATTAGTCTGTAGAGCTGTGTTGTTACCTATAGCCGCCGCCGCTTTCGTTGCCCACCACAGCTCACGGTCGTTCCTTAAACTTTTGCTTAACCTAGATCTGATTTGTTGTCGCTCTTCATCGTGTTCAGAGCCTGATGGGATGAGTTTACGAGAATCCATCAGTGCATTAGACCTTGAGGAAATCCATTGGTTCTTTGTAACCCTGTGGTTTAAATCACTGATAGATGTCACTGCTGTTTCCACAGCTGCTTGTATATCTTTCCAAGCAACATCTGGGTCAGCCTCGTTTTCAGAACTACATAATTGAGATCTCAGTTGTTCCGGGAACCAACTTTTGGTTTTCTCGCTACTCAATTCAGTTCTAACGGGTCTTTTTACTGAGGCTTTTTTGCGTCCAGTGAGGCGCAAGCAGATGCGTGCCCATATTAGGGCGAGGTCGGAGTCCAAGCAGGTACAACAATCTTCTACCGACCCTCTCCAACGATGACTGATGGCAATATGGTCTATTTGAGTCCATCGTTGGTTTGGTGTAGGGGTCGCCATGTTAGACGATGTTTCTCTCCGTGCTTAAAATTTGTGTTTGCTAAAGATAAACGATTGTCTGAGCACAGTTGCAGCAGACGATCACCATTATCTGTTCGTTGTGCCAGAATACTAAAATACTCACTTAAATGCCTTTCTGTTTGGTTTAAACTACCTATCTGGGCATTAAAGTCACCCGCTATGAGTTCCATGTCTGAACGTTTAACCTTCTGAAGAAGTTCAGATAGCTTTCTGTAAAATTCATCCTTCACTTCATCTGAGCTGCAGTCGGTGGGAGCGTAGGCAGAAACGACAAAAAGGCAACGACGTGGGTCCCTATCTTTCCGAGTTCTTACGGAACCGTTTAGCCGGACAGCACATAGACGACTGATAACGGGGATCCACTCTAACAGTGCTTGTTCCGCCCTCATGCCTAGTGCTATCCCTACTCCTGCCAGTGCACGAGAGCTGACCGTCAGGTCACCAGATACACGGAGGGTGTATCTTGTCAGCTCTCCGTTTTGCCGAGATGGGGTCAAGTGAATGACCACACTGGCATCCTGTATGCGTGTTTCAGAGACACAGCACACATCAATGGTACGAGATTCTAAGGTTCTAGCCAAGGAAGCCTGTTAACCGATTTGACATAGGGTGAGTACGTTGAAGGCTCCAATGTATAGTTTGGAACGAGGTTTCGACAAACCTGGGACAGTGTTTTGGGCACTAGAATCGTCGGCTATGGTGAAACTTGAGAAGGAAGCCGAAAGAGGAAATTTAGAGTTGAAATTCGATGTAGGAGGAATAATAAGAAGTGAAGACGGAGGTTGATTATGAATACAGTGATCTTGAGTGCTGTTAGAGGTATGAGGGCGGTTATCACTTTCCGGTTGCCCACACTGTGGAAGGGTTCTTCTGGAGGTACCTGAAAAGGAAATTGGATTAGAGGTGGTCTTAGTGACCTGGGAGCGTGACCGCAGTGCCCAAGGAACAACTGCTTGAGGCCGGTCACACACAACCTTTTTATGAGTAATTTTTGTGTTAGCTCCGTACTTGTTGAGACCTTACCGCCGGAGACGGATATCCGTGGGATAAGGCGAAGTGTGCATTTTTAGGATCAACCTTTTCTAACCCCACCCCTCCTTGTGGGAAGGCAGCATCGCTGTCATGCTGGTTGTCTGAAGGAAACACTTTACTGCTGTCACACCTCTGTACAGACAGCAGTACGACTTCGCCTTCGGACTTTGGGTTTGTTGCTTTTAGTCTTACCGCTCTTCAACCGACCTGTCTGACATGGTAGGACCTTGAGGAACGGTTGTTCCAGCCAGTATAGCTCGGTTGCTTCATCACGATAGGCAAGCCCGACCACCACGTCAATATAGCAACAACGGTCGGGGATCATATACAGTTCAGTTCATTAATTGTGTGTGGGCTGAGATACTGCCCGGGTGCCCAAACCGGCCTGCCAGGCATGGTAGGACCTAAGGAAACAACTGTTCTATCCAATAAAGCTCCACGGCGGCTTTATGATAGGTGAGTGTGATTACCACGTTAAAGTAGCAGCTACAGTCGGGGATAACTGAAGTAAATGGATGCTAGTTGAACTATTTGTTGAATAGTTTTGCATATCCTTTAAGTAGACTGGTATGAAAGTGGATCAAGATTCTGTCTTTATTTATATTAACACGTAGCATTTTATTTCCCAGTAAACTAGATGATAATCGAATGTCTAGGTTAGCAAATTCGCTAACTTTTGAGTGTCGTGTCAAGAACCTCGTTTCCCGAAAACTCAACTGATCGAATATGTGTAGCAATAATTTCTCTGGTTCCAGAGCTACTAGTTTTTCTAAGTACTTCAAACAGTACATTGGTGTTAGCGAAGAATCTGAATCTGGTATCTATTTTAGTAGTGTGACTACAATTTATACAACTTTTTATATTCCTGTTTGTCTAGGACTGTTATTCGCTTAAGTAATGTTTCATCCTTGCGATCAAGGTAACAACTACGGTCAGGTGTCACAGTCCATCAATCAACCACAATTTCGAGTTATTTTAGGGCAGCCCTACGTTTCTCGTGAGAAAAAAACATGTACATTACATCATGTTAAGAACGGAAAATAAAACAATAAAACAGACTTACATCTGTATGTTTGAAACGAGCATCACCCTGTTTGGTTTTTAGATCCCATAATACAAGAAATCCCGAAGAATAACCAATAAGAATCTTGTTTGAATCTTGAGGATTCTCAGCTATCTGAATAACTTTCCCCGGATGAGACGACTGAGATCTGAAAGAATGGAATAAACAAGAAATGAAATGATAACAAAAGTAAATTCAATACACTTATAAAGAAATGACTGACATGGGAAGAATGTCAAATTATGCACGATTTAGTAACAAACTTATAAAAAACTTAAAATAAGGTAAAACTATAAAACAGTTTTAACGACTACTGATATATCAACATTATCAAACAACTTATTTAACTGATGTATGACGACTGGTTGAAACAAAGTGTGCATAAATTACTTATCGCACAAACTGAACTTAAAGCCATAAATAAAATTGCTGTATATGATATGATGGTCGACAATATTTTTTTCATTATATAATCCAGTCAACTACTCAAGTGGTAATCATAATCAATTCTCTTAGAGGTACCATTTTCGAAAAGTTAGAAGTTAGGTAAACTATAGGGAATTCTTGTAAACGTTATTAATATGTTGACGATAACGTACACAATATGGATAAAATTATCTTTTCTGGTAATTAAGCAGAGATGGATGGTGGCTAGCCGTGGAATCCTTTTCAACTTATGTGGGATTCACCAGCTGGATGTACCTGCATCGCAGAGTTGATATTCACTCCCTTAGCTACTGGATCCATGTGGCCACAGGCTTGTGAAATGGGGTGACGAGTCGCAAATAGGGCGAAACGCAAATCCTTGAGTCCACTGCTAGCAACCATCCATCTCTGCTTAGAATGCATGCAACTTACTAACACTATCGAGGAAATCTGCGCAGGATGAACATATATCAAGAAAAAGACTAATTAATTCCAGTCTTAATCATCAGTGGGAAGATCCGAACAACAAACATGTATGAATTAAAATTATTCTGGCATTTGTTTTACTTACAGATCGATAGCCTTGTTCCAATTAATCACATAGCCCGATGTAGTAAACCGTTGAACACTTATGAAATTCACGTTGCCCTTGTCAGTACCCAAATAGAGCCAACTGCTGCCAACAGGAAGATGACCGCAAGTCAAACTGTGGTTACAGAAACAAGAATAAAACATAGAATCCAAAGAAACTTTATTTTAATGTATGGCTAGTTTATCAAAGGCAACAATAAAATTTAAAACTAATAGAACATTTTGAATGATAGCAGTTCCCAACATTTCTATGATTATCATAAAAATGAAGCTTCAAACCAGGCAGCCTATAAAAATTTAAAAAATCTAAGGTTATGGATACATTACAAAAAAATTCCTGTTTCCTTGTAAACCAAATTAGCTAGACTTACTAACCTATTTTCTTTTCAGTAAATTTATTCCGGATTTTTATTAAGGATGAAGAGTTAAATTCCGATTACGTCCTTTCATACTACTGCTACAAACGACTTAATTTTACTGTCAGTGTGTCAGGATGCATCTAAATAAGAACAGACGCGTTTTGAATTCCACACCTAACCACAACCAAAAAATACCGTGAATCACTTACATTCATGTTAAAACAAACTACAGCAAATTATTCTGAAATGTTATGTTTATGGGTAAACAATGTAATTTCGTATGGAAAAATGTTCCATATTTGTGCCATCTCTGTAACATACACCGTTACCAGTAACATATATTCCCTGTTTTTCTTCAAGTAACGATTACACGAATATCTCTCATAAGACGAAATACTATACACAATTAAACATTTTACATCATTTTTGATAAGTTTGCTACAGGTTTAAATAAAAATTCATTTCCGACGTGTTGTCCGTTTACAACCATTTTCCTGAGACCTGCTGCCATTTCACACAAAGGAACATAGTTTATCATACAAACCTAAATTTATAGTATTTTCTGATTGTATAGTCTTATATAACTTAATAATGAAGAACAAGCAGTGACAAAAACTGGTTGTAAACAATTACTATCCAGTGTAGACCAGAGAAGTGGTCTTGAGGATCTCTTGAGTCTCAACCTAAAGAAAAAGAGCATTAAGATTTTTCCTCTAATTAGGTTAAATGTTAATACAAAAATGATAACTTCATGTATCGCAGATTTATTCTAACCCATTCAAACTTAGCATAACACTTCAGTAAGCAAATGAGAATAATCCTACACAGATAACCACCAAACATTTGTTGAGTTTACAAAAATTCTCTTCAAAATATGTCTGCGCCGATCCCTATTCACAGTGATTGAACGTAGCTGGTTGTCAAACGCTTTATATATTTTGGAAATCTGATTAGTCATGAAAGGTGAATGTTCAGTAAAAACGCAACGAGAGTATATACAACTTGTCAATTTTTAGATAATTTATACCACCCCTAAAGCATCCCAGCTGTTTATCTGTCTACAAAAGTTCAGGAAATATTCTGTATCTTTCTTTACGAAAGACGATATAATCCTCGAAGACAGAATACATGCGTAGGTTGGGAGATTTCAACAGTATGCATCACGTAACCACCTAATCAGCAGGTACATTTCCTGTACGATTGGGAAATCTATTGTGAACCTACATCAACTAAGGTAATGGGTACGTTTGCTACACTCATTTAGCCGCTCGGTTTCCTGAGCGTAATCTACCGCCAGTTGTAAAAGTTGGAAGAAATAACAGGCCAAAACATAACATCAATCCATGAAGAGGTTATATAAGTTCAGACATCATAAGGTTTATAGGATAGATATAATCAGTGTTTGAAAACCATGAACATTGGTTCAAGATCAGCTGAGATTGTGGAGGTGTGTTCATTCTTTATTTTTGTTTGTTCTTGTACCGTTCGTATCAAAATGACTCCATACTTCCTCTTTTAGTTAAATTAATCTCGGTATACTATAAAGTCAGGTAAAATCAACAGGCATCTATGACAGATGGTAGTCTCAAATTGTTTATCTCTTTCTGTTTATCAAAATGATCTTATTTGTGTAAGGCAGTTTCAATCACAAAAAGGAGTGAAACAATTCGACATAATTTTCAGTCGGAACAGTTCAATACAATAAGTGAAAAAAATTACAGAAATATTTGTTTTCTGTTTTGTTCACATAATCTATTTATTCTTAATATATGGCTTTAAATAAACGTCAGTTTTTCTTGTGATTTTCTTCAAATATGGCTTGTCACTGTGATAATTAATTATTCTTGATATGAATATAGAAGTCGACCACACGAATAATTTTGGATTAAAGATAATATATGTACTAATAAAAGTGAACCTAATCAAAACAAATAAAACTTGATTGGATGAAAACTTCTTACGCCTAAATAAAGAGAAAAATGTAATACTTATTAATTCAAATTGCTTACAATGAGAATAGTTTCAAATAACTAATTATAACAATATATTCGCACGAATTTGGGTTTAAAGTAGATTGAACTGCTCAGAAGAGTGCCATTAAATCTATACTTAAATTATAAGAGCTGAAGATATTTCAATATTATTATTCACCAAAATAATTTGAAGTTTGAATAGTGGGAATCGGTTTCTATTAAAAAGACTCAAAATATAGTTGAGCATAATAACGGTGAACGCAAGAGATCCTAAATTCCGCTTATTAATAAGGAACACTTCACTAAAACATAAGGAAGTATGTCTAATTATAATGTTTACGTGTTTCCTAGTTTTTTATGAATGGGCAACGTTTTCTTGTCGTGAACACAACACGATACTATTAACAAATAATTTTGGCATTTGAATGTTTTTGACTAAGTGCCAACCTACGCTACGTAACCAAACCTTTGTAGTACACTGTATAATTTGATAGTCAGTAAGTGTACGATCCATCACTTCAACTCATGTTATTTCATCTTATTTATCTCTCGATGAAAACATAAGAAATTCACAAAATTCCTTATTATTGGTTACAATTTTACAAAGATTAAGGAAGAAAGTACTGACGATTCAATGTGTATCCTGGATTCATTTGTTTTATTTTCAAAACTGCAAAAATACCCAAAAAACAGAACAATTATTATTATTGCCCACAGAATAATGACTGAATATCCAGAGAGTAAAATAGAAACGAAACCATTCCTTTTACCCCCCGATCAGGCTTAATAAATTTTCAAGTATATTTTACTAAACTGATTTCCTTTGAAGTGTTTTTGTTCAGAGCGTTTATGCACATTCTGTTATTTTTTAATAATTAAGGTCGCTAAATTTAATGTTTCATGGGAATATACAAATATAGTTCTAAAAAGACTATGTTTGCTCACATACATATGTACAAAAACTTTACACTGAGTTTGCTTAATTTCACAATATCATTAAACTATAAGAACTACTCTACGCAATTATCATCGTAATTTACGACATAAACAGAAGTTTTCAACTAACAGTTGTTACATAAGTACCAATGTCATGAACACAAATTTACTTTAAGTCAAATTTGGATACAATTCGGATTTTATGCATCGAAATAATTTGCTGGCGATAACCAATTAATAGATTCATTATAATATGATAGATGTACTGATACTTCATTTTAAAAAAACTCTTCTGTGAACGTAAGTTAGAAGTGCTATGATTGAAAAATTTCTTCCAAAAATCCAGTTTCCATCAGTTAAGTAGTTAATAATCTTCAAGATATAACGAACGTTTATACATAAATTAACCCATAAATACAGTCTACCCACTCTGGTCGGTAGGTAAACACATGATCTTCGTAAAGCAATGTAAGATAATTAAAGCTATGCTATAACTGTGACGGCAGTAGATTAGAAGACAGCGAATTAACGATCGGACCAAAGACGCGCAAACACGTAAGAACGGCCTAGGGTTCTGATTTGTCCCGCTTCCCTGTCTAACCTAGCCAGTTGAGTCCAGAACACAAGTCTCAGCCTCGGAGATATGAATCGTTATATTTCAAACATGCCCTGTTATATACCAACCAAACAAACCACATCGTACCGTAAAACAGAAAAAACATTGTACAATATTGGTCAACAGGAAAATGACAGGTTAAATGAATATTGACCAATAGGATGATACCATTTCATGTCCGAGGATAGCATTAGGCTTAACAGAATAATTTTTGGGATATTCTCCTGAATATCCCAGCAAGCTAGAAACGTAATTCATTGGGCGGCATCCCATTAGAAGTCTGGAGGCAGCCTGCTGATGGACCTCGAGCTTCTGGGTTCGATCCTTAAGAATTTCGTGAGAGCACTGTTGATAACTACCAAACTAAAATGGAACATCTGCTTAGTGTTCACTTGTTCTCCAAGGTTGTTCAACTTTCTTTAACTGAGTTCTGTTGTTGAAATACAAGGAATCCACTATTTAGACAAGTAATTTCATTTAACGTCATGAACAAAATGAAAAAAGATATTTACAGACTAAGGTTGGAATCATGGCCTGATGTGAAACCACGAAATAAATATCAATTAACAATGAATTTTATCATAATGAAATTCCTGTTGCGTAATACAACAATCATATCTTACTACTTTTAATTTACGAGCCCATATTTCCAAACTGTCACACATGACTTGTGATACAGTGTAGTAAACAAAATTAGCTAGCCCTAACAAGACAATGAAAGTAAAGTTGGACCACAATATATTTGAATCAATGAGAAGTTGAACTTTTCATTATACCGATGAGTAAACACTGTTCGTTGTTAAAGTATTTAGTTAAATATAGACGACAAATAGAAATACTAGAATGATTATACTGTATGAAAATATATTTTGATCAACACAGTACTCAGGTATATATCATTAACTAGTAATACTATATTTGTAGTTTGAAAGATATAATCAGTCTAGTTTGGTGAATAAAATATTTAACTATGTAAAGAAGAAATTGAATACATGACAATATCAACTTCTCGCAAAAAGCTCGAAGAACTAACAAGTACGTAATACGTAGACTACAGATGAATATGTGACCAAGTCAAGTTTTTTACATATAAGCAAGAGCTTAAATTAATAATTTAACGAGACTAATAAGGATTTATTTGGCAAATTGAATAAAAATTGAACAAAATTATTAATGCCATGTTCAAACAATAATGAACATAAAAAGTATATGTTTTTTTAAAATTATGATC